AAAGATTAAACCAAATATCACGAATTAAAGATTAAAAATATGAAGGCACAGGTTAATAGTCTAATATATTTTATGATTTATTTTCAAAGATAATAAGGGAAGTGTAAATTTTACTGTGTTTATTAGTACTAAATGCATAAAAGCAAATTTTTCATACATAATTAACCGTAATAAAAAAATTATATTTAAGCAAATGTTGAGCATCATAAATTTGTTTTCTAACAAGATAATTTATAACAAATACTAAATAATAACATGATAACAATACTGATAAATGCAAATATTCAACATCCTACTGTCAATTTAATAAATTTTTATCCAGTCTCAACGTCTCTATATTCAATCTCATTGATTACATCCTTCTTTATCACCTTTATCACCACGATTTTTCTTGATTTCTGGATACATTTCGATTAACGATTTTCTCATATTTTTAAATTCTCTTTCATTCAAAAGAATTTGATCTGTAGTAGAAAAGGCGTTCTTTACACCAAGACAAGAATATAAAATATCCAATTCATATTTTTGATTATGATCATCAACAGAATTCTCTTCAAAGAATCCAAGATCTTTCCTAATTTAATAATATTACTTCGAAAAATTGTCGATTGGACCGACTTTTGTTCTTTTGAATACTTGCAAACTTCTTTCATATAAATACTTCCTTTCATTCGTTTTTCCAACTCCCATGAAACGATAAAAGCTTGATCTTTATTTTGATGAATAAGAAGCATAAATTCATTATAAAGTATTTTTATGTCTTCGATTAAATAGTATCGATGTAATTCATATTCTTCAGTATAAGGGATCTTGTTATACATCCTGACACATCTAAACCCATGGACAGCTTTTAATGGAATCTTCTTCCACGTTTTATTGAAATTATTATAACTGTTACGGTAAATATTTTAAATATTTATTAGCGTCCAAAGGATTAAAAAGAAATATCGATATGATAAAACACGTTACCAATTGTTCTTTCTTTCATGCATAGCTTTCAAAATCGTCTGCGGAAAACCCAGATATTTAATGAAAAGACGTTCTTGCAATTGACTCTTATTGTAAAGAACAAGACTAATGTAATCTTGTTCGCATATATCGGCAGGTAGCGGTAATTTAGGGTGACACGAAAATTTTTCACGTGAGATTCGCCAAATTTGAGTTGTACTGGCCAAAAAGATCGGCACACAAAACTTAATTCTATAAGATTTACAGCTGTTTTCATAAAGTCTGGGCCACCTAAAAATTTATTCGTTTCCCGAAATCTCTTCGGTTTCGTTCTGTG